AACTGCTGCAACCAGGGCAATCCATCGGTTGTGTAATATAACGTTGTACCACAAACGAAGTGACAGACGGAGCGGCTCGAAAACTTTGGTGACTAACCTGCTATTTCAATTTTTCAGTGTACCACATGGCAACACCACTACTACTGGATTGTACCACATGGCAACACTACTACTGGATTATACTAGCATTTTCACCAAATGTATTAGAATGTTTTGGTTCTATCTCTTTCACTCTACTCAAAACTGAAATGCATAAAAAAAATGACAAAATGATACACTCTTTGCGCACTGTCAAACAATCATTGTACACAAAATCAACTTTGTTCAAATCAAAACAAAAAAACTAACCCATCTGGTGGATGATGGCACAAGCTTCCAAGAAAATTCTATTACAGTGAACCACATTATTTTAATGGATTTCTTCGCCAGTTAGTCGTCTGTCACTTCGTTTGTGGTTGTACGATGCACATCGATTTTGCGAACAAAATTACATCCATTAATGTAATATTGTATCTGCTTTTTGCTATTACATCATTATTTCATACATCAGCTTGAATTACGTTGATCGATATTACATTTTTTTTTTGCTGTGTACCTCACCGTGCAAATTTTTTTAACCATCATCATTTTTCTATTTCTCCTGTTCGCCACGACCGCTTTCGTTAGATCTCCAATACTAAATAGGCTTTACCACAGAGAACAGACATCCACACACCAAATTTCTTAAATCTTGTTCGGTACTTTTTTTGCTGGATTTGTTCGGTGAAATATCATTTTTACCGAATGCTTTGTAAAGAGTATTATTTTACCAATTTTCCGCAATCATAACTGCTGAATTTCCGTAATTTGCAGAAATTTGCCGAAAACTGTAAATCAAATTTGCTGATTGAAACTGTAAATGGCTGCGATTCCGCAATTCTGTAAAAATTGTAACGAATGCACTGTACAAATCATATTTTACAAAAACAAACAGCAATAAAGTACAGTATTTCCGTAAAACTTACTGAACAGATTTGTAAACTTTGTACTGTCAAACACAACCTTTGCTGCCATTTCGATGTTGAGTGTTATTCGGTTTTATGTTGTGAAACGTAAGTACTTTACTTTTTTTTGCTAGATTGTGTTCAATTTACAACGAAAATTTAATCAGTTTTCATTTTTGGGTCAATTTCTTTCAGACGCCATGGACGTTAGGCAATTCAATATCCTCCTCAAAAGTGCTGAGTTCGGCTCAAAAGTCCGCGGTTTGCTGAGTCCGGCTTCATTACTGATTTTTTTATGAAGTTTTGTACGAACTCAATATGGAAATGCCTATTAAAAAATATATGGTTGAATAGTCGAATGAATTTTTGGGTTGATGAAAGAAAGAAACAAATAATTAATCAATAAAAATTCTAATTTTTATGATTTATTCTGAAAAAAAAGTACAGTAGATTCGGTAAAACATATACTGAACGCTATGGTAAACTTTACTGATCGTTAAGTAAAATTTACAGTCCGCAGGTCAGTAAATTTTGACAGTCCACAAGCGAAGAAATTTTACCGAACGGATTGTAAATTGAAAAATTACCGAATGGATTACCGAACGTTCAGCTGTTCCATATTCGGTAAAAAATTACAGTATACTGTAAAAAAATCTTAGTGCGCAAGCTCAAACAATTTTTTCGAAAAATTATGTGTAAGAATTCAAATTAAAATACGTTAGAAACACTAGCGCCACCATACGAAATGTTGCGACTCGAGTTGTAACTTTGTGCGATTAATCAGTAAACTGAACTGAATTTGGGTTGACCTTGTTGACCGTGTATTCAAATGAACTGTCAAATCAGTTCAAAACAAACAAGACAAAACAATGGAAATCAATCGAGTTGTGTGGTCAATGTGGTAAGATTTGAACACTGCTTACCCTACATCCGTTCTTCCAGGAATTCGAAAAGCTTCCGGGGAGAAGTGGTCGGAACCGAGGTCGGAACATAACTTTTTCGTTGCAAGCGCTTGGACTCCACGTGAGATGAAAATCTCCTGTAGTTCGGGCAATTCAGCATCCTTAGGAAAATTGTGAAAAGATTTTCGTGAGGGGCACGCAATACAAAGAACCGGTGCGTTGAAGTTAAAATGCAATCAAAAGTACTTATAGTAAATAATATGCGTTATGAAGTAGTACTGACGGTAATTAAAATTATCTATCCGTAATTAATGTAATTAAAAGTATTTAAAATGTAATTAATGTACTTTAATTACGAAATTTCAACTGTAATTAATATAATTAAAAAGTAGTTAATGTTCTACATTGTGTAATTAATGAAATTAAAGCAGTGGTTAGTAAAATTAATTTAATTACAGCCGTTGTCTGCGTTGGAGTAAAAGGTTATTGCGTGCCCCTAGGATTTTCGCTTGGTAACACCTTGTTTATTTGCACACCAATAAAACTCGCACTTTCGGCCCATGTTTTGCTCGGTTTTAAGCAAACAATGTTTTGCTTACAACAATTTTGTCATTTATGCTAAGATGACGTCTGCCGGTCATCGACGATGGGTCGTGACACTAGCGCCACCACGATATTTCTAGTTTCAAATGTCTATTCAAAATAGCAGTCAAATTTCTTACATAGGGTTACGGTATGTAATGTGGGTCTAGTCCTTTCATTCGGCCTATCACGCAAATAAATAATTAATTAAGGAATATTACACAAAAAATAAGGAAAATATTGATCACTGATGGTTGATAAATGTGTACCACACACAAATCAATTTATATCACAACATTTCAATACATTTTCAGCTCTCGTAAGTAATAAAACTGGTTGAGAATATCACAATGTTCGGTTTTTAGCCGCCATGACTTATAAGGTTAAGATGGGAAGGTTGACTGACGATCATCAAATGGCCTGATTATGGCATTTATTGATTGGAATTACCTGATAATACACACTAGACGTAAAACTTACAGTTGCTGTTTGAATATTTTATGTTTATTTTAATTGTTTAACAACGTTTTCACAAGTAAAACATGGACCCAACTTTAGGGACACATTTCTTTTCTATGTTCCTAACTATGGCCCATGAAATTCATTTGACAGCATATAGCAATAAGAGTAACGTCAACAATGTTGTTTTGCATTTGGATGATAAGGAACGAACAGGAAGGGAGATTTTTTCTGCCAAACCTGTATAATGAACATCACAATGTTCTGATTTAGATATTCTGCGGTCAAAAGACGATAAGCGAAATTTTTAATTTTTAATTTTTAAATTGAGTGATTTAATGTAGTTTTCGTAAAATTTTCTCTAAGAAATGTTTTGAGGAATGAAGAGCACTAAGTTAACAGTGATAGTGATAAAAAAAAATACATCAGAAAACGTTACCAAGAGCGTTTTTTTGAGGATCAAACAAGATAGGACGAAGTTGCATCCATAAATAGACCCAATTTGGGGACAATAGACCCATATTACATACATTTCCCTCGTGAGTTATTGTCTTAAAAAAAGTAAGTTTTTCAACTTTTCGTGGTTTCTGATAGCAAACGACATGATAAGCATATCTAAGCATACCATTTAGCAGTAGAATATCGTTTGCAGGTAAATTCATTGATGAGTTATGATTAAAAACGTAATCGATGGCTGCATATTAGACCGAGGTTAGGGACGTATACCCTACTTTAGGAATTTAACTTTGATGTCTGTTCTTTGTGGCTTTACGTAATAACGTAATATTTTAACGTTCCCAGAGATAAAAAATTTCCATATCATTTTACAGTGTATTTCCTTTTTTCGACCAAGGAAGCCAATATCCATCGGTCGAATTTTTCAGAAAATTCAACTGTCAAGTCAAAAGATTAGGGTTGGGCGATTTTCGGAGAAAGATCGATCTTGACGGATCGATCTTATTTTTGGCTCTACATAATCGATCCATAATGATCCAATGATTAAATCGATACCAAAGAATCGATCTTTAGTAGATCGATCTTTTTTTTTGATTTGTATTCTAATACGCCTAATTACGTAGGTACACTCAAAAAATATTGAAATCTAAATAGTATAAAAGTTACGCTAAATAGCAACTCTCCGTACCGACGCAAAGGTCGGTATAAAGGGAGAGAATGCAAACTTAGTATAAAAATGGTTTATGCGTGCCATAGTATAAAATCGAAATATACTCACCATGCATAGATACGGTTTATTCAAGAGAATGTATTGTTCGCTTCTTTATTTCATTTATGGTAAATATTATTGTTTTCAAATGAAAATAAAAATTGTCTCAGGAAGCTTTTTTCATTAGTTTATTTTTTATAAATAATATTAAAAAATACTTACAATTTCGATGCTGCCCAGCAGATTACAGGCGCTGTAGAAATCCGCTGGGACAAAGCCCTTCACCAGCACGAAGCTCCGAAGGGAATCCAGATGTTCTTATTCCTGTCATTTTAGTAAACACTGATAGAATTCCACTCCGTTATTCGGACTTAGTATAATTTTGACGAAAATTTTAATCGAACCAATGTATAAATTTTTAAAAACCATAAAATGCATAAAATTTAATCTATATTCGTTTTGTAATATTTTTGAGTGTACCCCAAGAAATTCTTTATTTTTAATATTCAATTAAATGTTGTCGTGACAATAAGCAGTAATGAGAACAGGAGGGAGGTAGTACAAACCTCCAAATGTTGCTGTATTCGTAAATATTGGAAACGCAAATAATGACGTCATTTTAGGGAGCGATGCTGATGTTGACGTTATGTTCGTTAAATTTATTACCCAGTCTGTAGTGAGAGTAAATCATTTTTTTATGTAAATACACTTAAAAAAATTAACACCTATGTTTTTTTAAGATCTAAAAAATTGAAAGAAGAGGTCGATTTTTTCGATCTTTTCGTGGACAAAGAATCGATCAAAAAAATCTAAAAAATCGGGATGAAAAAAATCGATCTTTCAAAGATTGATCCAAGATCGCCCAATCCTACAAAAGATTCTTGTTTTCATTTCGCTCTTGCAGTTTGCAGAGGCTTCTATTTTCTTCTAAATTCTGGAGAATTTTGTTTGTAAAATAGTTTTATAGTTTGTAAAACAGTTACTATAGCATGATCGCCGTTAAAAAATATTCCGAATGATTGGATCAGGACAGGTTAATAATTGCTCATCGAAATGTCCTCTCAATACGATGTGTTTGATAATCTGAACGATTATTTAAACAGTAAGTACCTAACATTCACCCAACCACTTCAAAACGAACAAGCGTAAAGAGTGTAACACCGGAAAACCCCAAATTCGATTTTACTCTCGTTCTATACGTTAAGCATAACGTCGGACATGGTGCGAATAGAGCGCTCTATGTTTAACTTTCATGTTTCGATTGTCGCATGTGGGGTTTTTCGGTTTTCAACAATACCGATAATAATTGCAGAAAACGACGATTGCGATTTTCCCGATGAAGAGCTTGAAGATTTCAACGATCAGGAACCTGATCCGGAAGAAATTCCTCCTCCAATCAAACAAAAACGTGGTGGAAAAAAAACAATCGAGCCGGATCCAATTCCACCAAAGAGAACGAGACGGCGAGCTAGGGTAAACATTGATTCATCTGGTAGTGAAGACGATCTACTAAGTGCTCCATCGACCTCTAGTTCTCACTCGTCACAACAAAGCCAATCTCGGCAGAAACAGGCCGTTGATTTGGCCGGTGACGATTTAGAAGGTAAATTTTTATACTAAACTGCTACATATATAATAACAGTTATCACATTATTACAGAGCAAATCAACGAAGTCCAAAAACAGTATGATCTGATTTTCTACAACTCGCCATTAATACAAGAAGATGCAAGATACTTTTCAAATCTGCAGAAACGCTACCAAACACTGATGAAACAAAAGAGAACCGCTCGTGGCAGCAACAAGGCATTCTTGAGCGATTTCGAATCACTGAAGGAAATATTGTACAACATTTGCATAAATCGTGGCCTTATGGCACCGAGAACCTTGTATTCCGCTCTTGATACCAGTTTGGCTCCCACGGGAAGGCGTAGAAGGCAACAAAGACCTGATTTGATCAATCTAGTAGACAGTCCAGCGCTAATTCTTCCCGGAACGGTAAGGCTAAGTAAGATGTTTGAATGGGTCAATAGTAATGGCTTTGCTAATTTTTCCAGATCAATCTTGATTCGGATGAAGAACAAACAACCAACAATAAAAGTGTCAATGTGTCGTTTGACTCGGAAAACTACGAAGTTTCGCTAAAAATCAAATGGGAGGGTAAAATCGAACGGTTTGCACATCGCAAGTTTCAAAAATTTGCTGATGTAATCGCAGTGCTTGCTGAAAAAAGCAGCGCCGATCCGAACCATGTTGTTTTGAACTTAGATGAGCGTATTATCGAGCCAGATGATACGCCAGATTCCATTGGTTATCGCATATCGCAGTTCATAAGTAAGTGATCCCATGACTGCCAGCATGTAATTATAAATCTCATCATGACTTTTGTTTCATCGTAGCCGGTCGTGTAGTTCGGGGAAAGTTGGCTGAAATGTTTTCGAAAAAGGAAACTAATGTAGCAGGAGCTGCCAAGCAGAAGCCAATGGATGCCAATGTTATCAACCTGAAGGTGCAATCGGACCGCTGGAAGAAGCCACTTGAAGTCCAAATCGGCAAGGATCAAAGAATGATGATAGTGGTTATTAAGTGCGCCGAAGAACTGAAATGCAAACCCGCAGATATCAAACTGGATTTCGATGGGGACCCGTTACCGATGGATTCAACTCCGACTGATCTTGAGCTGGACGGAGGCGAAGTATTGGATCTACGTTTTCTGAAGGGATGACGAGTTTAATCGTTGTTCTATGATTTGTTCTGTACACATTATTATTGTTACTATCAATGCATTCTGCCGTGGATTGTGTTGAATTAAAACTACATTTCAACGGCTTAATTTATAAGATGTTCCAATACAAATTAAGAAATATAAATTCTAAGTTTTAATATCCTTCAAATAGGTAAATGAATCGAGGAATGAGGAACGCACATAATATGTTTTTCCGATAGCCAAATTAATTATTTTTATCTGAATATCACATAATACAGTAAATTTTATGTGAGTCGATTTCATTGGACACAAAAAGTTCATGTGACTTAGTGGTGCAATTTCCAATTATGGGATCAAATGAAAATTATGTTACACATGGATATTTTCCACTGGTTATGTGATTTATTTGAGTGTATGGTTCTATAACTCGATATCGAGTAAGTGGACATTGAGCTATGAAGAGTTGACTATAACAGGGTCAATGAATTATTCTCTGATTTTCCTTTAATTTCCAAAAAAAACAAATCAGTACAGTGCCTTCCTGTTTTTGGCAACACTACCTCATCAGCTATTACTTTCCTCAGATATGTACGAGTACTTGTTGGATACTTTTTCATGAAATTTCACATGGACCTCTAACCCATGAATAGTGGTCCAATACAATCTCAAAATGAATAAAGCGTTCGATACATATTATAGAATGCAATAAAGACAGAAATCTCGTGTTTTCGAAAACGGAAAGTCACAGTTTTCATAATTCACAACATTCAAACGAAGTAAGCGCCAGGTAATCAGTTCAAGCAGTAACCGAAATGCTACTATGATTGATAGCGATGTTTGAAGGAAACTGCAATCATCTCGATATAAATCTACAAAAAAGCTTGCTTAATCGCTTTATGTTTTCAACAAGTTACCTCGATTTACTCCATGATACCAGAAGAGATGCTTGGTATGGCTATTTTCTCACGCTTAGAAGTTCTTTTCTGACTGTTTTCGAAATCAACGCTAGGGGCAGAAATTCACCCAGTTCTACATCTTACATATGAAACACCTGTCTTTAATCGCATTGATTTTTTTTTCTCTTGAGACCCACCTTCCCAAGAAAATTATTCCGGATAACCAAACGCTAATTTGCGGCCGGTTGCTTCCTGTGGGAAATTGCCAAAACAGCGCTTTCACCTTCAACATTCTGTAAGTTAATTTCTTCTTAACCCAAGTAACCACCCAGTGAGAACTGAATTTATAGTAGGCTCATAATCATCGAAATACCCTTTTATTTGAATAAGTGTTGTTCATCTTGCAACATAAACCATTGAGTAACCCACAAGTTACCAACTATATTTAAGAAATAAAGAACTACACACTAAGATTATTTCACAGATTTCTGTGAAATTTTATCAAAATCCTAACAGCTAAATGTTTGGTAAACAGTTCGGTGATTTTTCACAGTTTTCCTGTAATTTTTCACTGATATTCTGTGTATGGTACTGTTTACCGAACGTTCAGTTGTTGATATTTCGGTAAAATTGCACAGAAATCTATGAAATAATCTTAGTGTGTAAATCCAGTAATTAAGTTGTTTGAAACTTGCGTAGTCAGTCATACTTATTAATAAGTTTCAACACAGAAACCACCATCAAGATAGCGCTATAACCACGGGGCAACAATCACGAATTTCGGCCGAGCTCACATCAATGTGATGAATATAGTGCAACAGACTACTCTTTCTAGCATTCGGTGCAAGTGTGAAAGAGTAAGCTACTTTGTTCTGTTGTACCTCCGTCAGTTTTACCTTTTACGTCTTCTTTGCTAATAGCATAGAGGTAACTCTAAGACCAGAAGGTCACGAAGAAACGAGCTCAACTTTTTGGCTCAGCTCTGGTACTATCTTCGGTCCCAAGCTAATCGATGCACCCCACGAAACATAGGAAAATCCACGAACCCCTCATTTTATCAGTCAAACTTTCATAGCGAATCAAAACAAACATAGTGTAGTACTAGAATTTCGACTAGAATGGGGTACGTTAATCGATTTACTTGGGACCAATAGCACAAACGAAGTGACAGACGCAGCGGCTCGAAAACTTTGGTGACGCACCTGCTATTGCAATTTTTCAGTGTACCACATGGCAACACCACTACTACTGGATTGTACCACATGGCAACACTACTACATGCTACTACTGGATTGAACTAGCATTTTCACCAAATGTACTAGAATGTTTTGGTTCTATCTCTTTCACTCTACTCAAAACTGAAATGCATAAAAAATGACAAAATGATACACTCTTTGCACACTGTCAAAGATCTTTGTACACAAAATCAACTTTGTGCAAAACCAAAACAAAAATACTATCCCATCTGGTGGATGATGGCACAAGCTTTTAAGAAAATTCTATTACAGCGAACCACTTTATTTTAATTGATTTCTTCGCCAGTTAGTCGTCTGTCACTTCGTTTGTGCCAATAGGCTAGTCAAGTAGTGAGCCAATTTAAAATCATTAGTTTCCACCGGTTGCTAATAGCGAATTCGTTTATTATTCAGTTTCAACCTGGATCGGGTATCAAGATTGGGTCTGCTTGTTTTCTGAAAAACGTCAGTTTGCTCGTTTGTTTTTAAAACCTAGCTCAGGTTGAGGTTCGCACTGACAAAAAGTTCGATTTCACACGGATTCGCTATAACATGCGTAGAATTTCCTACTTCAGTGCAAATTTCTAGACATAACAGAACAGTCCCATCAAATATTGTTCTTATAAAAATAGGCTTAACTTATTTCATTGAAGGTAATTTCTGTAGTTTTCACTGAAACATATTGATTCTGAACAATGCGCTAACTTATTTTAACGTATATTTCTTCCAATGAGCAGAAATGATTCGAAACATTATTGGCAATTTTGTAATGAGCATAGGCAGGAGAGCAGCGCTGATTTATATCTTTTCAGGTTCAAACAGAATGATGTGCAACCAAGTGGTATTCGTTTATGATGACTGGGTTTGGGGAAAACGTTTAGTTTATAAAAACAATGACCAAAATTATCATTTGAGCATTTTTCAAAAGTTTTTTGATTTTTTTTTTATAATTACTTTATTTGTACAGGCTCAATCGAATAAACTTTACAGAGCCGAGTTATCCTTTGCGTTATACATTATTACTGTCTTAAATTTAAAGTTAAAGGAACTGGACCGAGTACTCGCGGTTGTCTCGAGGTTAGTGGAGATTTACAATTTTTTGGATGGGAAAAGGGAAGAAGGAGGTTTGAAATGTGGTTTACGATACAACTATTTAATTAATCCTAAAGCATGAAATTATTTCTATTCATCTTGAAAACAAACATTGAAAAAAAAAAACCCACACGTACAAAATACAAACTAAGCACAAGGTTAATCAAACTTACAATCTAAGGTTAATATCCTTAAAGTAAACATATATGAGTTTCATAAACTCCAGATCGCGTCTAGCCAAAATATCCCGAACTGGAACATTAGGTTGTCTACCTCGAGCCCGAAGGGAATCATAAAAATGTGATCTGACTCCACGATACTCCGCACAAGACCAAAGGATGTGATCAGCGTCCTGGTAACCTTGTCCACATTCACAGAGATTGCTGTCTCCCAACCCCACACGGAACAAGTGAGCGTTTAGACAATAGTGATTGGACATGAGACGAGACATCACGCGTATGAAGTCTCGACTCAAGTCCAACCCTTTGAACCATGCAAACTTCGACACCTTAGGGATAATTGAATGTAGCCATCGTCCCAAGCTCCCTTCACTCCATTGATGTTGCCAGCTAACGAAAAATTCACTATAGGCGATCTGTCGATCATAAATGTCGCCTTCCATAGCGCCCACCTTCGCAAGTGAATCCGCCTTCTCATTGCCCAAAATTGAGCAATGCGAAGGGACCCACGCGAAGGTGATGATGAAAGAGCGCACGGATAAAGTACTAAGCAGTTCTCGTATTCTCAAGAGAAAATACGAGAAGTGCTTTACCGGCCTAATGGAACGGATAGCCTCGACAGAACTGAGACTATCCGTAAAAATAAAGTAGTGGTCTGGAAGAAGTGAAGCAATAGTTTCCAAGGTGTAGTGAATTGCTGCCAGTTCAGCCACATACACAGAACAAGGAGCTTCAAGTTTTCGAGAGGCGCTATGAAATGCATTAAATACACCAAAACCAGCGGACTCCTCTATTAGAGATCCATCTGTGAAAAACGTTCTTGCAGAATCAACATGGCCAAACTTTGCAGCGTATAATGACGGAGCAATCATAGGACGATGATGCTCTGGAATTCCGCGGATTTCCTGCGTCATAGATAAATCAAAATTCACTGAATTGCCGAAATCGGAGAAGATTACACGATTGGGAATATTTCTTGAAGGGCTGACATCCTGTGTTAAATATAGGTAGTACAAAGTCATAAAACATGTTTGAGGATTTAGCTCCAGAAGCTTCTCAAAATTTTCGATCACCAGTGGGTTCATTACTTCGCAACGGGTGAGGAGCCTAAGAGATAACTCTGAAAAACGGACGGATAGTGGCAACATGCCCGCCAGCACTTCGAGACTCATAGTATGAGTCGAGTGCATGCATCCTAACGCGATACGAAGACAGCGATACTGGATCCGTTCCAGCTTGATGATGTGCGTTTTAGCTGCCGACTGGAAGCAAAAACTACCGTACTCTAAAACCGATAAAATCGTTGTCCGGTACAACGTCAGAAGATCTTGTGGATGGGCTCCCCACCACGTTCCGGTAATTGATCGAAGGAAATTGATCCTTAGTTGGCATTTTCGTCTCAGATACTCAATGTGGGATCTCCAGGTGCATTTGGAATCGAACCAGACCCCGAGATATTTAAAAGACATGGAATGAGTGATCGGTTTACCCAAAAGTTGAAGCTTCGGTTGTGCTGGGCTATGCTTCCTAGAAAAAAGGACCAACTCAGTTTTCTCCGTGGAGAATTCGATACCTAGCTGAATAGCCCAAGTAGACAAATTGTCCAAGGTATCCTGTAAGGGTCCTTGCAGGTCAACCTCTTTTGGCCCTGTGATAGACACTACGCCGTCATCTGCAAGTTGTCTCAACGTGCAATTGTCATTAAGACAATTGTCAATTTCTCTAACGTAGAAATTGTACAAAAGGGGGCTTAAACATGAGCCTTGGGGGAGACCCATGTAGCTAAATCGAAAAGCTGTAGAGTTTCCATGAGAAAAG